TATGGAAGTTGTTGATATCCCAGGAAGTACGGAAACCGAGTTTTGTGGCGAAGGGATACAACCGTGCATTTTAATTCATTGAATTCGATGTCGTTTTCGATCGACCATTGATAAACAGCACTAAGTGTTCTCTGAATCGCCAGCCAGTCCTCGAGTTTTTTGTCACTGTCTTCCATATTTTTGCATCGTTTGCAAACATTAACGTTCGTGGCCCCAGAATGTCCGTTAGGTCGTTTATGAAAATAAGAAAAAGTTGATAGCCAAGCACGAATCCCTGTGGAACTCCTCGGGCTACGCTGGCAGAATCTGAATGTGATCCAGAAACCCAAATTGCCAAACTGTCGAAGAAATTCTTCTATCCAGCCCAGAACAAATCCCCGAATTCCATAACCGTGTAGTATCCTCAGCAGTATTTCGTGGTTCACTTGGTCGAGTGCTTTGGAGAAGTCGAGGCACACGACGTCCACTGCATCACCGTGATCAGCTGCTTTTGACCACTTTTCGCAGGCCAGAAGTAGGCTAGTAGTGCACGAACGCCTGTGATAAAACCCATGTTGGACAGGGGATAACACGTATTTTTCCAAGTCACTCATCACATCGTCTGCAGCAATAAATTCCATGACTGGATAATACGGGGAGGAGAGTAACGGGGCGGTAGTTAGCTGGGCCACTCCTTGTTTCCATGTTTGTGGGATCACAGTTTTGTCGAACATATGTTAGAATAGTTCACTTAGTGTTTGAGCTAACTTACTTATCAGGTTAATAGGGGTTTATGTATAGAAATTATCTCTCTCCGGAGATGAATTCCTTTTCGAACATTGCAGTTTCGATGCTACGATTTCTGGGGTAAAATCAATTGTTGTGAGCGTTGGGTATGGTATTTCCTCAAGTAACAGAGGCAATCGTAATGTACGTCGGCCAGACGTCCAGAAGTCGGGACAAAACGAATGAATGTGCAGATGCGTCTAACGAAGAAGGTTTTAAATGATGCAGCAGGTTTGAATCGAGTTGAACGCAACTCCGAAATTGTTGGCCATACAATGTGAGAAGGACATGTGGTTGATTTCAAAAAACCGCGTATTCTAAGGCATGGGTGCAAAAGTGACAAGAAACGTTTAGTAGCCAATGCGCTCCTGATCAACGCTGAACCTACGATAATCAATCGATCTGCTGGGGCAATCATTCTACAGTTATGGCAAAAATTGATACTTGTGTATACACAGTAGTGTCGTCCCTACCTCCAATCCCAAATGACCCATTCACACGTTTTGATCCTAAGGCCAAACCGATTTCACTCGTCTCAATCACCCGTCGAACGATCGCTAGCACACAGATACACATGCTCGAGTCACGTCATCTCATCGCCTTATAATTGCTTGTATCGTGAGGTTAACGATTAAACGAATTGAGAAAAGCCTTCCAAGAGGGTTGAAAACACCTTGTGTTTTTTTCGTTCGTCGTGGCTGAGACAAGCTAATTCCCTCCATAATCATGAGCACGACGCCCAAGTTATTCAGTG